CCCCCCCCCCCCGGACGTTTGTCGGACATTTGTCATTTTAGCGAAAAAATGTTGCAAATGCCCACCATGGGTCCAAATAATGCAACAAAATCCCCACCCTTGGGGATTTACATTGATGCAAATGCCCCACCCTTGGGGACAAAATGTAAGTTTTCTGAGGGTTTTTGAACCAAAAAATCGAACACAGGCTCTATCTCGTATCAGTATAATCTGTATTTAACCCATTGAGTTGCATTGCACCCTGACGCACCCTATTTTAGTGTTTTACTCTGTCTAACGCCAGACGATTTTACTCATCAAGGGGAGAGCGCTGGCGCTTAACGGGTTAACTGGCCTATCTTCCCATGTGTCTAGTTAACCCATTGAGTCGCATTGCACCCTGACGTACCCTACTTTAGTGTTTTACTCTGTCTAACACCAGACGATTTTACTCGTCAAGCGGAGAGCGCTGGCGCTTAATGGGTTAACATCGATTCTGTAGCCATTTTGTTTCAAAACGTTTTTAATTAATTAAAATATTCTCAAAACTTGATATAACAATATCAAACTGCGGAAGTAAGTCAATGAATCAACAGTATGGACAAGAAAAAAGTCTAAAAGTGTGTATGTCCGCCATGGTTAATTTGCAATACGCACAAACATGTAAACATGCATGCGTTGCATACTAAAATACGGCTAAATGGCGAAACAAGCAACAAATATTCGACTTTTTAGCCCTGAGCAAACTTTTGTCAGCGTGTCAAGTGTTGCGCATGAGTAATTGAAATATTTTGTGATATACGATCCAGAGGTTTATCAAATTATCCCGCTGCTTTTGTCTGGCCTTCGGTTTCATTAGCATTGCCCAATACCCGAGATTTCAGCGGTATTTAATAATAAAAACATGCACATATATGACTTAAAAGCATGTTATTAAAGACAAGCAAGAAACAAGCTTCAAAACAATATCTGAAATCCTGCCGAATTATGGTTATTTCATTAACTAAGGGTTAATTTCGCATTTCAAGAATGTCCACTCCTTCTATGTTTATTTCAACATTTTCGTTGTTTGCATAATAATATATAGGTAAATTTTATAAAAGAGATTAGGCAACAGGACTATTGCATAGTCATGTATTTCTGGCCATGTTAAAGATGGCGAATGTGTTGTTTTTCTTGTGTTGTGAAGTTAATTTTTGGGTTTCCAACTGAAAACCTAATTTCCACACGTCACAAATTTAAATTAACTCAAACAATTTCATTTTACTGCACTGAAACTTTTGATCAGAAGATTGAGTTTCAATCTCAATGGGGGCCGTTTTACAGCCCTAAAAATTCCCAGAAAAAACCCTGGGGGAGGTGAAAATATAACGTCCCAAAAAATTGTTCCAAAAATTATTTTGCGATAATGGGGGTTAAAAATACTTTTTCGACCTCAATTTTTCAGAATATTCCTTAATATTTGACATGTTCCAGCATTCTGGAGCCCCCTATGGGGAAGTCGGGCCCTCTTTCTTAACTTTTCTTTTTGGGGTGTGACACCCCCACCCCCCACACACACAACCAGTAGTTTCGGCCCTGGATGAAAGGATGCCGACAGGGTTTACCCCTCAGAAATGATTTTGGAGTCACCCTTCAGAAAAACTCATTTGTAGAGTGGGGTTGAATTCATTAAATGAAAATGGCTCATTAATAAATTGACCTTTTTTAAGTACTGTTTAATAAACAAGCTGTGTGAGTGTTTTATTAGGTTTAAATTACGACTACGAATTCAATACTATTAAATATACTGCCTTATTAGTATTCTTTATATAAAGAATACTAATTAGGAGTGTTTATCAGGTTTAAAGCCACTGCACGTGACATATTATGGTTGCCATGATTTGCCAATAAGCTTATGAATTATTAATGAGTGTTTGAATAATAGTATATTTATTCAAACGTTGTAATATTTAACTCAATTCACACTTTGGCTGCAATGTTTTATATATATATAATAATTATCTTTATTATATACCAATAGTCAAAGTCGCATTTTTCTAGTGTTTTATTGGTCGAGAGCATATCACGTGAGAGTGACGAAATTAGGCTGTCTCCCTCCCAACAGCGCGAGAGGGAGATAATACGTTATCGACCGGCGAATAACGAAAAAAAAACCATGTGCTGCGCCATCATGTGAAGATGCGACATTTGGACATGTCTGGTAATTTAAGTAACTGCAGTGTTTAATTTAACGTTTTAACAATAAAATATTTACATTCATTTGTTCTTTCTAATTTGTTGTTTCTTTGACTATTGATACATAATAAAACACTTATTTACTGAGACCTCGGGAAAGCAGTGTGTTTTGTGCACCCTCGACGAAACAGTTTGGCAAATAAAACGGCAACGTGGCCATCAACAATAGCATTGATCCTCAAAGACAATGGCGAATGTAAATTACATGGTCTTAAGTGTTGTGCAATGCTGTAGCTGTTGAAACTAGTGCGTGATTTGCATCATTTTCACGGTGCATGACTACGGCAACAGTTAATTCGTTCGATGTTATTTGAGGTGTTTTATTTGAATTCGCGGACTATTTTTACTTTTAAGTGTAGTAATCAGGCCTCGAATTTCCCTGAAATCAATCGACGGCAATGGCGTTAAAAATTGCCGTGGAACGTAACAGCTGTCTATGGTAATTTTGGCAGTTTCCACAGCATTTTGAGACTAAAATAGTGATTTACGCATGATTTGATCAACATCTGAATTCACTTATCAAAGATAAAAATTGCACTATACGGCAAAAAATTGCCGTCGTTGCCGCAATGATCCACGGCATTTTGTTCTCCCTCTACGGCAATTGCCGCGATTGCCGCGATAAAATTCGAGCCCTGGTAGTAATGCATACTTTGGCTCAAATACAACAATACAGGGTCTATAAAAAAAACTGAACAGATTTGAAATTGCTCTCAATTTCGCAAAACAGCTATTAGTATCCAGTTTTTTATGTATATATAGCTTCTCCGGGTACTTATAATGTAGAATAATGAAACAAAATAAAAATGGCTTGTGCACGAAATTTAAAAGCTTTAATCATATTTTGAGTTGATAGATGAAAAATGTGTTGGGTTTTTAATTACTGTACAAAATTTCAGACGATTTGCTTTAGTTTAAGCCTTTAACTATTCATTTGTTTCTACAAAATCAGCCTTTCGCGTGCTTAATTAATGCCTTTACCTAATTTGCATATTGCTGACATATGCAAATTAGACAAAGGCATATAAACATGCAAATAGCTGTTTTTTTAGGAAAAAATGTAAGTTTGCGTGAATAGTTAAAGGGCTTAGACTAAAGCAAATTGTCTGAAATTCTGTATAGTAATTAAAAACCCTATATACATTTTCCATCTAACTAACTTACATCTATGATTAAAGCGTTTAAAATTCGTGCGCAAGCCATTTTTAATTTGTTGGAAAAGAAATTCCCCCCCCCCCCTTGTTCACAAAATTTGAGTTCAGAGAATTCATTATTCTATATTATAAGTACCCAAATAAGCTTTATACATCAAAAACTGGATACTAATAGCTGTTTTGTGAAATTGAGAGCAAATTCATATCTGCTCAGTTTTTTTTTATACACCCTGTATAAGCAAACTCCCTCTCGATGGTCTCCGGGCAACAAAACATACTGTTTCCCTCGGTCTGAGTAAATAACAATCTCGTACCCAGAGCACTGCCTGTGCGCGGGCTATGAAGGCATTGGCTCTGGGGAAATTGACAACCGGAACCCCTAAATTTAGGGGTTCCGGTTCTTTGTCGGCATGCACGATTGACAAACGTTAAACCAATCACAGCACAGGAAAAATTCAATTTCCCCAGAGCCAATGCCATCCTAGCCCACGCACAGACATTGCTCTGGGTACGAGATTGAGTAAATAAGTGATAAATAATTTATCTATCAGGCAATGAAAGGAGAATTGTCTCAAGTGCAACATCAGGTCAACGAGATGTTTAACAAACAGAAAGAAATGCTCGAAGCAATCCAAAATCTTACAACCACCGTTAATAAAATGAGAGCAGGAAATGTCAAAGCAGCGCCCACGTGTGACCCAAAACCACAAGGAAACATTGTTATCATTGGTGGACAGGCACGTTGTGCTGGTAAACATGGTGGTGTGGACAATAAACTCCTTGATTCTGTTGAAGTGTACTCCTTGGCCAATAGAACATGGAGTAAATTAGCACCGATGAAACATAAGAGAGCAGCCACAACCGCACATTTCTACAATGGCCGAGTCATGGTTACTGGTGGTCGGTGTGATAATAATGTAACTAGGAGTATAGAACACATCCAAATCCCTGGAGAAAATGTACCAGTCAGGGCTCCCCTAGATGCCCTTCTTGCAGCTGAATTGCCATTTGAATGTTATGGTCACAAGACAACCATCCTGAATGATTATATGTGGCTTGTTGGAGGCAGTCTCAATAGTAAGAAGTCGTCATGCTCAAATGCCATTTACACGAAGCCTCTTCACTCAACTGATAACTTCCTGGTTAAGTGCCGAATGCCTGAACCACTTTCGTACCATGGTTTGGAAGTAGTTGACAATGAACTTCTAATCATTGGAGGTACAACCACTGGTCTGGCACGAGACATTGTTAAGACTGTTTTGTCATACAATATCGCCACCAGTGAGCTCAGAAAAGTACACCCACTTCCATTTCCGATGGCTGATATGGCAACTGTTAAACATGGTGATGATGTAATCATTATCGGAGGAGTAAACAAGGAAAATAAGTATTTGAACACAGTTTTCAAGTACAACCATAAGAAGCGTGTATGTGAGCGATTACCAGATATGAAATACAAGAGGGATGAATGTGCCGCTGTCATTTCCGGAAACAAAGTGTTTGTGATGGGAGGAAACAATTCAGAGGAAGGATGCTTAAGTTCTGTTGAGTGCTTTGATCTTGAGCTTCATGTTTGGCATGAACTTCCATCCATGAGTGAAGCTAAATTTAAAATAGCTGCAGTTCTAGTGCCTTAAGACTATTAAGGGATTGTCTTTGCCACCCTTACAAAGACAGCAAGGGTGGGTTGAGTACAAAATTTTTGTAGTTTGCTATAACTACAGCTACTTCAAAAAGATGTAGTCAGCTACAACTACTGCTACTTTTGAACAAATGTTCGCTACTGACTACAGCTACTGCTAAAAAAATGTAGCGAACTATTTCGCTACGCTATTTGTTTAGTTTTACTGTATTTGGACTTTGGAGCTTTGGGGCATTTACTAACTCAGGCTGTAATGTAACCTATAACAAATCGACTTACGAGTAGCAACAGTAAAAACAAAAACGCTACGTACAGTGTTCAGGAGTTCAAGACTCAAATTGAGTATTGATTTTAAGCAAACCGTGTCTCAATATCATGCTATTCTATCAAGTTGCTAACAATTTTATAAACTAGCGAATGGCGATTCTCTGTTTGAAAAGTAGTCAACTACTTGACTACTTTTCGGCAAAATGTAGGCTCTGCCTTCTGGAACCAGGGTACAAAATAGGCAAATAGCATGAATCCGAAGGATTGAGTGCTATTTGAGCTCTTTGAAAAATTCGAGCGCTTCTTTTATCCAAATTTCATTATTTTACTTTGTCTAGCATCAGGTAATTATACTCACCAAGGGGGAGCTCCAATGTCATACATATGTATATATAAACTTTATTCGAATGTCAAAATATTTAGCTAGGTATAGGTAATTTAAGACTCGTATTATAGACTTATAGTAAATATACATGTATATCATAGTAATGTATATTATAGTAAAAATATGTCATAAAATATAATTTTAAAATGAAATTGACTTGCCTATTTGATAGTGTGTGTTCTCCTTTTATTCCTCCTTTGTTGGACTAATATTTTCCGAGACTTTGTGCTCGATGGTACTATAATATACATTAGTCATTACTATAATATGTAATGTTTACTGTAAGTTTATACCGACCCTTGCAGGATTGGGCCGCCTGTGAGTAAATACTAAATGATGTAATATAAAGCAGCCTGGGCATTTATTGAATTTCTGTATTTTAAGATGGGGGCTTTCTCAGTTCTATTGTTCCCTTAGAATTCATAAATTTCGGACCACGGACCGTTGGTCCCAGAAATTTTTTGAGTTCCCAGAAAATATTTCCCCATGCAAGAATAAAGAAAACATTGTAATAATTCAGATAAAAGGAGAAATTCAGTGGAAAATTCACACCATGACCTCAGAAATGCAATTATAAATGCAACCATCTTAATAGTGCGATGGTGTACAAATGTGTTCGACTATAGAATGATGTACTATGGTTTGATCAGGAGTCGCATACTGTCACAAGAGGGGGGAGGGGTACACATGTAAAAACGCACAAGTTGTATCAAACCTGCAGCCGACTTGTAACAAGGCTATTCCAACAACTTATCAACAGGATGTGTTCGCACTGCTTGTTCCCAGCTTGTTGACAAATTGTCAACGGCTTGTTGACAACTTGCTACAAGGTTGTTGAGCTCAACAGACTTGTTACAAGTTGTTCCATCAACTTGTTATCGTCCTGCAATTCAACAACTTGTCGACAAGTTATGAGTGACAACCTTGTAGCAACGTGATAGAATAAAAGCATTGCTACAACTTGACAAGCTTGCTGCAAGCCTGTTGCGAACACATCTTGTTGACAACGGTTGCGAGATTTTTACGTGTGATATCACAAGCGGTATGATGGACAGACGAAAAGAGGAAAATTTATCCCTATCTATAACCATGGATAATAAAATAAATTATCCATGCTATAACAAAACAAGACCGTGCTTGTAAATATGTGTCCCTTTAAGGCGGTTTTCCACTAGGCGAAATTTTTCGACCGAATCGAAATTTCTCTTTGTTTCATGAGCTCTCCTCAAGCAGAACTAATTGTAAGAAGACAAAGAGAAATTTCGTTTCGGTCGAAAAATTCCGCCTCGTGGAATCAGGCCTTTCCACTGTAGGCGATATTTTTCGACCGAATCGAAATTTCTCTTTTTTCTTCCCTGAGTTGAAATGGGCCCGTAGATGACAAATCAATGTTTTCTATCAAAATAATACTGCTGACATCGACATCGCCATGCGTTTATTCAACAAACCAGCGAGAACCTGAGTGGGAAACTGTTTAGGCCGATGTTTTATAATAAGGCATTGAAATGGTGTCGATTTATAGATAACGTTTTGAATCTGTTGTTGCATATTAGATTTGTGTTTTGTGAGTTGTTGTTTTTTGGTTTGTTGTTTTTTTGTTGGTTTTTTTTTGGGTACCGGTCTTCAGAGTCATGTATTTATGATGGGGTGTCCTGCCAGCTATCACACACTGTCACAAGGGAGTAGGGAGAGGTAAAAACACATGAACGATGGTATAATTGGAAATTGTATGTATTTAATGCAGATACGACAAGCATTTTAATGGTAAACGTTTTGGACAATGCTGAAATATATGTTTAGCTGGTGTGTAACTTTACTATTTGCGCGGAATAAAATTCACTTGCTGTGTATCTAGACTAATATTGACATTTGAAAAAACTTGCCCGAGGCCAAGAGGCAAAATTCGCAAAGAGTCTAGTAGTATTTTGCTGGGAAAGCGGCCGGTAGGATAAGTTACACCACTGCAATTAAAACTTTTGTTTCGTATACTGTGATAAAAGTTTCATTACAGCAAGTTTTTGATTTTATTTTTTAATGTAAAAGACTAAAAGTCCAAAAAGGACCAAAAAATTTACAAAACTCGTAACAATGGCGATACGTAACAAAATAGGATTTCACGAATAATGAAATGAAAACTGTCTTAATAAATTACCATTTTCTTTCCAATTATTACGGGACTCTAATATTAAATGTACGCAATGTTTAAATTGCGCATACGCAATAAAATGTCACCGTGTTTTTCATGTGTTTTTTTGTTTTTATCGAGTTTTTTTTTTCGGATGACCGTGTGGGGTGCATAAATTTTAAATTAGTAAACATTTGTTAATTGTTTCAAACTTTGACGTTTCTTGGACGAAAGTTGACGCTATCAGGGGCGAACTTTATTGTTGCTAAGGTAAAATTAAACTTCCTCTACCGAATGAGAGAGGTCGTTGTACTGTAAAATTAAATTCCTGAATATTTACAACCACAAGCATCAAGGGAAAAATTCAAACAATTTTTTATAGCATCGAGTTTCTGACATAAAAAACTTGCCCAAGCAAGAAGCAAAAAGCCTACTTTGCCTGAGAAAGCGGTCGATAGGCTATTAAAAGGCCCCGGCAGACCGGACGCGATTTGGCAACCCGACGCGAATTTTCAGTTTTCAATGACATTGTAACTTTAATATTTTTCAATGTTTTTCAAATATTCGGAACCACTTAAGCAATTTTAGCTATTTGGTCTGCATATCTTATAAAATTTTTATATAGTCGGGTTGTCACAGTAGGGATTGAGCTTTTTGTTTCAAAAGTTTCATTACGGCAACTTTTTTATTAAAATAATATAAAAGTCCAAAAAGGACCAAAAAATTTACAAAAAACGCACAATAGCAAATACTATGCGAGATATGCAACAAAACTACAAGAGAGAATTCGATTATTCGAATAATGAAATGACAACTGTCTTAATATATTACCATTTTCTTTCCAATTATTACGGGACTCTAATATATAAACGTACGCACTGTTCAAATTGCGCATGTGCAATAAAATATCACCATGTTTTTAATGTTTTGTTTTTGTTTTTAGGCCATGTAAAAAAATATCCCGGTTTATCATCACCGCCCGCATCCATTTTTCTTGCCGCATAGATTTTTTTAATTTTTAAAATTCACTATTTGGTACGACGAACCCACGCGAGATTTTCAAGATGGTCGGCCATTTTGAAAACACGACACGTGTATGATATAATTACGCGCTTTTCTCACGCCGCCATTTTTAGATGGCATTCCAGCTGAAGTCTGTGCGATAAGTCCACATAACAGCGACTTTTTATAATTTTTTGGACGAATGATGGTAAATTTGCTTTGTAAATGGTTAGTTTATTTTGAAAAATTGCTTTCCACATTATTTTAATCAGGGACGCCGGAACTGGGGGGGGGGGGGCAGGAGCCCTTTACCAGGAGGGGCAAGGTGGACAAAGGTGCCCTTTCAATTTAAAGGATTGCCTTAGCGTAGCGAAATAGCGAATTGTCAGAAATGTTAGTGCAATTCTTTTACGAATTTGCTTCAGAAAACGCAAGAAATGCAGTCATCGAGCTTCAAGAATAGCACAATCGCCTGGCGGAGAACCCCTCACACCCCTATCATCCAATAAATACAAAACATGATTAGGCGAAGTTCAACTCCCGATGTTTTGCAAACATCTCTTAGTATATATCAATTCAAAAGTGCCCTTTCACGAAAATCTGCCCCCCTTGCCTTCACATCGTTCCGGCGTCCCTGGTTTTAATTGTCTGCATTGGATAATGAAAATTTGATGCCACCCAAAAATGGCGGATATTCATCATCATGAGAAAGGCTAATTGGCAATTGTAATATTTAATAATGAAAAGTGTATTAAAATAGCATTGAAAATATTATACCATAACAATGTGCTGCGTGTTTGAGCATAATATTTTTTCCGTGCAACTTACTGAATGTGTTTCGTCACTCTTTCGGTAAAAAATAAAAAACCTCCCGCCCGCACGGTTTTTTTCTGCTGCCATTGATGATAAACCGGGAATTTTTACATGGCTTTTTACATGGCCATCGAGTTTTTTTTATTGCATGACCGTGAGTTTATAATGTTCAGTATTGAATGTAGACTTATAGGGTAAATCTGAGGCGTGCATAAATTTTAAATTAGGAAACATTTGTTCATTGTTTCAAACTTTGACGTTTCTTGGACGAAAGTTGACGCTACCAGGGGCGAACTTTATTGTTGCTAAGCCTAAGGTACAATTAAACTTCCTCTACCGAATGAAAGATTGTTTCGTTGTGTTGTAAAATAAAATTCACAATATTTGCCCGCAATAATTCGGACAGGATTTGTCCATGTGTTGTACGCTGATTTCTGAGCGAGATGGCATCAGTGCATAACATCAATTCTTGAGTAAAATATTCACAACCACAACCATCAAGTTTCGATAGCAACGCATCTACTGCAATTTGTGTTTCTCAGTGATGGTGGGTTTCGATTTCCAATCGCTCATTTCCCAACAGCTCAATGTCCAGCATCAGTGTTATATCTGAAGTTTTGGGAAGGCGTATTACAGATGAGAAGAGCAGGATTTACGTAGGGCCTTTAATTTGTTCGTAATCAGAAATGCCTAAACACTTACATTAATGTGAATGTTTAGTTGTAAAACAGTATATTATACTTTTGTCTAGAATCTACTTTGCTTTATGTGACGGGGGAGATGCTAACAGGCAGTTTTTCAAAATGCATTTTTCTAACTGTCATCCTTGCGATTTGCATTTCATTGGATACAATATGATGACTGAGGATCCAATGGTATTCATAATGGATTGTAAGGTATTAGCATTCACATTTTTCACATTTTTACAGCACAATTTCGGGAGAGGAGAGAAATTTAAAACAGTATTCTGTTGTGTGACAAATATAATTAGCTGCGTATACGTTTTACGTCTAAATAAGTGAGATGTATGTTTTACTTCTACAGTATGTGTATTTGGATATTTACATTCAAATATTACATTCAATTTCTTAGCACAATTTCAAAAAACTGCGAAACAACGTTGAGAAAAGTAGCCCACATGGAACGTCGCGATGTCTGACAATAAATGGGAAGTATATATTTTGGTCATATTGGAAGGAGGCCTTTGCATGGGACCAAAGATGCAACTCATGTCATTTTCATGAAAAACTGAAAGAAGATCATTTCATGCTCACGCCCAGTTCAAGAATGCGCAACGGGTTAGCTGAGGACGTTCTGGATAAGAAAATGCTACTTCTCATGAAGGTGTGTATATGGTGTACGTGCACGGATTTATCATATTCCTGCCTGTGTAAAAACTACCGCCCAATTAGC